GGCGGCGGCGCAAGCCGCCCCGCAGCCGACGCCATCGGCCGAGAGCCAGACGCCGGGCGCGCCTGACGAGCCCGGGAGCGGGAGCGCGACAGCCGGTGCCGGCGGGGGCCGGGCTGCGCCGGGGGCGAGCGCGCAGCCGGCCGCGACGCCGGCCGAGGACGCCGCCGCCGGCCAGACGCTGGAAGGCGATGACGGCGACGACCTGCTGGTCGGGGGCGCCGGCGACGACCTGCTGGACGGTAAGGCGGGCGATGACCGCTTGCTGGGCGGGGCGGGCAACGACGTGATCCGTGGCGGGGCCGGCAACGACACCCTGGACGGCGGCCGTGGTGACGACCGGCTCGATGGCGGAGCGGGCGACGACCGGCTGGCCGGAGGCGAGGGGGACGACATCCTCGACGGCGGCGCCGGTGACGACCGGCTCGACGGCGGCGCCGGCAACGACACCCTGAGAGGTGGCGAGGGGGACGACCGGCTCGACGGCGGGGCCGGCGACGACCTTCTGGCGGGCGGCGACGGCGACGATCTGTTGTCCGGGGGCAGCGGCGACGATCTTCTGGAAGGCGGCGACGGCGACGACCGGCTGCGCGGCCAGGCCGGCAACGACCGTCTGGCGGGCGGCGCCGGCGACGACATCCTCGACGGCGGGTCGGGCGACGACCAGCTCGATGGCGGCAGCGGTGACGACCTCCTGTCGGGCGGGTCGGGCGACGACATCCTGGCCGGCGGGACGGGCGACGACCGGCTCGACGGCGGCGATGGCGACGACCTGCTGGCCGGCGGCGACGGCGACGACATCCTCGACGGCGGGGCCGGCGACGACCAGCTCGATGGCGGCGCGGGCGAGGACATCCTGGCCGGCGGCGCGGGGGATGACGAGCTGGCCGGCGGGTCGGGCGACGATACGCTGGACGGCGGCCTGGGCGACGACGCCCTGGCCGGCGACGCCGGCGCCGACATCCTCGACGGGGGCTTCGGCGACGACCAGCTCGACGGCGGGGCCGGCGACGACGTTCTGGACGGCGGCTTCGGCAACGACCGCATCGCGGCCGGCGCCGGCGGCGATGCGGCCAGCGGCAGCTTCGGCGACGACGAGGTCGACGGCGCCGAGGGCGACGACCTCTTGTCCGGCAGCTTCGGCGACGATGCGGTGCGCGGCGGCGACGGCGACGACGAGCTCGACGGCAGCTTCGGCAACGACCTGCTCTACGGCGACGCCGGCGACGACCTGCTGTCCGGCAGCTTCGGCGACGACCTGCTGATCGGCGGCGACGGCAGCGACCGGCTCCGCGGCGGCTTCGGCGACGACACCTATGTCTTCTTCGCCGGCGAGAGCGGCGTTGACCGCATCGACGACGGCTGGGACAGCAACAGCGTGGTGCTCGAGGGCTTCGACGCCGACAGCCGGGTCTGGGCCCGCATGGACGGCCCCGACCTGGAGATCCTGGTGCGCGGCGGCGACGGCAGCGACACCGCGATTGCCAGCTTCGAGCAGTACGTGGCGCGCGAGGAGGCCTTTGCCGGGCTGGAGATCAACGGCCGCAGCCTGAGCGGCGAGGAGCTGCTGAGCGGCAGCGACCTGACGGGCGAGCTGCCGGGCGATACGGGTCCCAGCGCCCTCGACGGCCTGCTGGGGGCGGACGCCGTCGCGGGGGCCGGCGAGAGTCACTCCGGCGAGAGCGCCGGCCAGGGCGCCAGCTTCGAGGTCGCCGGCAGCGGCGGGGAAAACCAGGTCTTCGTGGTGCAGACCGGCGGTGCCGGCCGCAGTTCGGTGCAGGTCTTCGAGGGCGGTGGCGACGAGGTGGGGGCCGACAGCCTCGCCGAGGACGAGATGGAGGCGAGCCTGTGACCACCGGGACGACCCAGGCCGGGGACCGCGCGCCGGGCCGGGAGAGCCCGCCGCCGCTGCCGCGCGACGTGGAGGCGGGCGCGCTGGCGCGGCTGCTGCGCGCGCTCGGGCGCAATGTCGGCGAAGGCGAGATCGCCGACCTGGCGCCCAAGCAGTCGGGCCTGCCCAAGGCGTCCGACCGGCTGCTGCTGGCGGCCCAGCGCCTGGGCTTCACCGGGCGGCTCGCGCCGGCCGAGCCGGAGGCGCTGGCGGAGCTGCCGGCGCCCTACCTGCTGCTCGACGGCCCCCGGCCCTGGCTGGTCGTGGCGCGCGACGGCGACAGCCTGACCCTGTGCGACGTCGAAAGCGGCAAGACCCGCACGGTCGGCTTGGCCGAGGCGGCGCGCCTGGCCCCGCGGCTGCTCCTGCTGCGCGCCGAGGCGCCGGCCGCCGGCGGCGCCAACCAGGCGCTGCGCCGCCTGCTGCGCCGGCGCCTGCGCGGCGCGCTCGGCGAGCTGTTGATCGCCTCGGCGGTGATCAATCTCTTCGTGCTGGCGCCGCCGCTCTTTCTGATGACGGTGTTCAACAAGATCGTGGCGCAGAAGGCCCTGGACACGCTGGACGTGCTGGTGGTCGGGATGGTCGCGGTCTATGCCTTCGATGCGCTGCTGCGCGGCATCCGCAGCTTCGTCGCCAGCCACGCCGCGGCCCGCCTGGACGCGCTGATCGGCGGCGAGGTGGTGCACCGTCTGCTGCGCCAGCCCTTCGAGCGCTTCGAGCGCACGCCGGTCGGCCTGATCAACGAGCGGCTGCGCCAGCTCGACGTGATCCGCCAGTTCTTCACCGGCCAGATGCCGCTGTTCATGGCGGACTTCCTCTTCGTCTTCCTGTTCCTCGGCGTGCTCTTCGCGATCGAGCCGACCTTCGCCTGGATCTGCGCGGCGGCCATCCCGCTGTTCGTGCTGCTCTCGGCGCTGGGTCTGCGCCGCCAGCGCGAGCTCTCCGACGAGGGCTTCGTGACCCAGGCGGCCAAGACCTCGGCCCTGGCCGAGTCGGTGAACAACGCGGTGACGGTCAAGTCGCTCTGGCTGGAAGGCGAGATGGAAAAGCGCTGGGGCGAGCGCCTGGCGCTGGCCACCGCCACCGAGCGGGAGGCGCGCAACCGGGCCAACCGCCTGTCGGCCCTGCTGACCGGCCTGCAGCACCTGATCGTGCTGGGCATCATCTACCTTGGCGCGCGCGAGATCGTCGCCGGCGAGATGTCCCTGGGCGCGCTGATCGCCGCCAACCTGCTGGCGCTGCGCATCGTCGCCCCGGCGCGCAAGCTGCTCTCGGCCCTGCGCCAGGTGCAGGAGGTGCGCGCCGCCTTCCGCCGGCTCGACGAGATCCTGGCCGCCGCCCCCGACGCCGAGCCGCGCAGCCAGGCGCCGGCGCCCAGCCTGCGCGGGCGCCTGGCGCTGGAGGGCGTGACCTTCGGGTTTCCCGGCGCGCGCCATCCGGTGCTGCAGCAGGCCGACCTGGAGATCCAGCCGGGCCAGATCGTCGGGCTGGTCGGGCCGGCCGGGGCCGGCAAGACCACGCTGCTGCGCCTGCTCCAGGGGCTCTACCAGCCCCAGGCCGGGCGGGTCTGCGTCGACGGGCTGGACCTGCGCCACATCGCCCCGACCGAGCTGCGCCGCTACCTCGCGGCCGTGCCGCAGGAGACCCAGCTCTTCGCCGGCACGGTGCGCGAGAACATCCTGCTGGGCCTGCCCGACGCCGATCCGGCGCGCGCCGTGGCCGCGGCCAAGTTCGTCGGCGCCCACGACTTCATCGCCAAGCTGTCCCAGGGCTACGAGACGCCGCTGGCCGAGGGGGGCGGCGGCCTGTCGGCGGGCCAGCGCCAGCTCCTCTGCCTGGCGCGCGCGCTGGTGCGCAACCCGCGCGTGCTGCTGCTCGACGAGTGCACCTCCGCCCTCGACAAGGCCAGCGAGGAGCGGTTGCTGCGCAACCTGGCGCGGGTCAAGAAGGGCCGCACCATCGTGATCGTCACCCACCGGCCGGCGCCGCTGGCCATCTGCGACAAGGTCTACCGCGTTGTCGGCGGCAAGGCGGAGCTGGTGCGCGCGGGCAGGCGCCCGGCGCTGGGCGCGGCCGAGTCTGCCACGGCGGCCGAGTCCGAGCCCGCCACGGCGGCGGCCGCGGCCGAGGGCTGAGCCGCCCGCACAGGACCCGAGGTAATCGCGCCATGTCCCTTGCCAGCCTGCCGATGACCCCCGCCAAGCGGCGCCGCATCCGCCGCGACTACGCCGAGTTTCTACCCGGCGTGCAGGCGGTGCTGGAGAAGGAGACCTCGCCGACCGCGCGGCTCCTGGTGCTGACCCTGGCCGGTTTGGTGGCGGCGGTGCTGGCCTGGGCCGCTTTCGGCACGCTCGAGCGCGTCGCCTCGGCCCCCGGCGAGATCCGTCCGGCGATGGACGTGGTGACGGTCAACCACCCCGAAGGCGGGCGCGCGGCGCGGATCTATGTGCGCGAGGGCGAGCAGGTCGCCGCCGGGCAGACGCTGCTGCGGCTCGACCCCGGCCTGCTGCGCGAGGAGGTCGGCAAGCTGGCCGCCCGCCGCGACCTGCTGGCGGCCCAGGTGGCGCGGCTGGAGGGCGAGGCCGACGGGCGGGTCCTGACGGCGGCCGGCGGGGACCTGACGCTTGACGGCCAGCGCGCCCTGGCCGGCGCCCGGCGCGATGCGCTGGCGGCCGAGCGGGCCGGCGCCGACAGCGCCGTGGCCCAGCGCCAGGGCGAGCTGCGCGCGCTGGAGCGGCGGATTGCCCAGCTCGAGCGCTCCCTCGCCATCTCGGTGCAGCAGCGCGACGCCGTCGCCGAGCTGGCCGAGAAGGGCTACTTCCCGAAGCTGAAATTCCTGTCCCTGGAGCGCGAGGTCAGCGACCTGCGGGGCGAGCTGGCGCAGGCGCGCGAGACCCGCGCCGCCGCCGAGTCGGCCCTGGCCGAAGCGCGCGAGGCGCGCGCGGCCATCGACCGGGACTTCCGCGTCGACGTGCTTCAGGAGCTCACCGAGGCGCGCAGCGAGCTGCAGGCCGTCTCCAAGCAGCTCGCCCAGGCCGAGCTGCGTCTGGCCGGCCTGGAGGTCACCGCGCCGATCGCCGGCACGGTCGAGCGGGTCTACGTCACCGGCGCCGGCCAGTCGGCGGCGCCCAACGAGCCGCTGGTCGCGCTGGTGCCCTACGGCGAGGAGCTGCTGGTCGAGGCGCGCGTGGCCGACGCCGACCGCGGCGCCGTGCAGCCCGGCCAGCCGGTGCGGATCAAGGTCAAGGCCTACGACTTCGTGCGCTACGGCACGCTGGAGGGCGAGGTGGCGCGCGTCGCCGCCGACGCCAGCCGCGACGAGGACAGCGGCGAGATCTACTTCAAGGCCGAGGTGGCGATCACCGACACCGCCGGCCTGGCGCTGCAGCCCGGTCTGCAGACCGAGGTCGACTTCCAGCTCGGGCGCCAGTCGATCCTCGGCTACTTCACCGACCGCCTGACCAGCAAGCTGGAGTCGGCGCTGACCGAGAAGTAGCGCTCCCGCCGCGCGGGGTCAGGAGGTCTCCAGACCCTCGTGCAGATGCGCCGCGCAGAAGGCCTCCAGCTCCGCGCGGTCCGCCAGCGGGCGGCAGTGCAGGGTCAGGTCGTCGACGCCGGGCGGATCGACCAGGAAGTGCATCAGCCCCAGCAGGAACTGCACCTGCGGCCTGCCCGACCCGGGCACCGCCGCCGAGTCCGGGGCCGCCGAGTCCGGGTCCGCCGAGTCCGGGGCCGGCGAGTCCGGGGCCGCGTCGGCACCGAAGAAGGGCACCAGGCAGGCCCAGGCCTCGCGGGGGTAGCCGTCGATCGAGACGTGCCGGGCGAGGCTCACGACCGGCAGGCGGTGGTCCAGCATGGCGACGAACATGTCGGCGGCGCGGTGGCGGCGCGGGTCGCGTTGCGAGACGGCCCAGATCGACTCGCCGGTCGGGTTGCGGTTGTAGAAGCGCTGCACCTCCTCTCCGGCGATCCGGTAGACCAGGTCGCGCGGCCCGCTGCGGCGCAGCAGGATCGTGCGGCTGAGCCAGCGGCCCAGCGCGGCGGGGTCCAGCGCCTCGCGCCCGGGCTCCGGCCCGAGCGCCAGCCACCAGTCGAGAAAGGCCCCCAGCTCGCAGACGGCCGCGCGGCGACGGGCCAGGACGGCGGCGTCGGACCGGCCGAGCAAGGAGGCGTTGGGCGGATCGGCAGACATGCCGCCGATCATGCCGCAACCCCCGTCTCAAGAGGTTAATAGCGGCCGCGAAAGCGGCGAAAAACCGCCGGATGTCGCGCCAGGGTGGCACGGACCGGCGCGCGATCAGCGGCGGCGCGATGCGCGCCGCCAGCGGTTCGATATTCTGGCGGCCCGCTTCCCTGCCGGCCGGCTTCTCTGCCGGTTGGGGCGGGCGGCCTCGGCGCGTGGCGGGGGAAGCGGGAAACTGGTGCCGACGGCAGGATTTGAACCTGCGACCTACTGATTACGAATCAGTTGCTCTACCCCTGAGCTACGTCGGCGGACCGCGGCGACCCGGCGGGGCCTGCGGCGGGACCGCAGGCGCGCGGGGGCGTGGCACGGAGGCGCATAGGTAATCCAGCCGCCGGGCGGCGTCAATGCGCGGTGCGCCTGCAGGCCCGGGCGCCTGCACGCCTGGACGCCGGCGCGGCAGGGAGTCGGGGACAGGGGGCCGGGGACAGGCTGCTGGGGGCAGGGGCGCGGCCGTGTGCGGCCGGGCGGGTGGCCGCCGCTCCTGGTCCGCAGGGATATGCAGCGGCAATCACTTGTTTGTCTGGCGTTAAAGAACAGGGCATACCTTGCGGGAAGCTGCGTCGCCGGCTGCAGCGCGCCCCGGGCCGTTGGCGCCTCGGGGGGGCCGGGGGCGCAGCCGGAGCGAAAGCAAGGGCGCCTCATGCCGTCACCGCCTTCCCGCCGACCGCGTCCCGCCGCCGCCGCCGCCGGCGCTTCGCCTGACGCGCCCGACGTGCCCGACGTGCCCGGCGCGCCCGGCTCAGCGGGGGCGCTGCTGCCGGAGGAGGACGCCTACCGCCTGGTCTTCGACAATGCCGGGGTGGGCATCTTCAAGTCGACGCCCGAGGGCCGCTATCTGATGGTCAATCCGGCCCTGGCGGAGCTGCTCGGCTTCGAGTCGGTCGCGGCGATGATGCGGGCCGACATCCACGAGCTCTACGCCGATCCGCGCCGACGCGAGGAGTTCAAGGCGCTGATCGCGCGCGACGGCAAGGTGCGCAACTTCGTGATCGAGGCCAAGCGCATCGACGGCGCGCACATCTGGATCTCCGAGACGGTGACCCTGGTGCGCGGCACCGACGGCGGGCCGGCCTACTACATCGGCACCACGGTGGACATCACCCGCCAGGTCGAGGCCTCCCTGGCGTTGGCGGCGGCCGAGCGCGACTACCGCGAGATCTTCGAGCACGCGACCATCGGGATCTACCGCTCCTCCATCGACGGGCGGCAGCTCCGCGCCAACCCGGCGCTGGTCCGCCTCAACGGCTACCGCGACGAGGCCGAGCAGCTCGCCGCCGTGCACGACATCGGCGCGGAGTGGTACGTCGACCCCGGCCGGCGGACGGTCTTCGTCGAGCGGCTGCTGGCCGACGGCCGGGTCGAGGATTTCGTCTCCGAGGTCTACCGCCACCGCACGCGCGAGCGCATCTGGGTCAGCGAGACCGCGCGGCTGGTGCGCGACGAGGCCGGCAACCCGCTCTACTTCGAGGGCACGGTGCAGGACATCACCGACCAGGTGCGCGCCCGCGAGGAGCTGATCGCCACCCGCTCGGAGGCGGAGGCGGCGAGTCGCGCCAAGTCCGCCTTCCTGGCCAACATGAGCCACGAGCTGCGCACGCCGCTCAACGCCATCATCGGCTTCGCCGAGGTGATGGAGCAGGAGGTCTTCGGCCCGCTCGGCTCGGCGCGCTACCGCGGCTACCTGACCGATATCCGGGCCAGCGGCCTGCACCTGCTGCAACTGCTCGACGACATCCTCGACCTCTCGAAGGTGGAGGCGGGCAAGCTGGAGCTGGAGGAGCGGCCCTGCGATCTCTTCGCCATCTTCGAGGAGGCCGCGCGCATGCTCGAGACCCTGGCGGCGCGCAACGGGGTCACCCTCTCGCTGCAGGGCGCCGGCCGGCTGCCGGCCTTTCTCGGCGATCCGCGCCGGCTGCGCCAGATCGCGCTGAATCTGCTGTCCAACGCGGTGAAGTACAACCGCCGCGGCGGACGGGTCGAGGTGGCCATGGAGCCGGAGCCCGACGGCGGGCTGCGCGTGACCGTGGCCGACACCGGCCTCGGCATCGCGCCGGAGGACCAGGCGCGCGTCTTCGAGCCCTTCACCCAACTCAACCGCGCCCAGAGCGACCGGCAGGAGGGCACCGGCCTCGGCCTGCCGCTCTGTCGCCAGCTCGTCGAGCTGCACGGCGGCCGCCTGCGGCTCGACAGCCGGCTGGGCGAGGGCACCCGGGTGGCGATCACCCTGCCGGCCGCGCGCGCCGCCGCCGGCGCGCCGGCGC